TGGTTTATCTACATATGACTTTCCTTCCAAGTGTCAAAACCATCCAGGTGTCATTCCTGCCATCCCTCGACTCTACTGTGACAAGGAAAAGCACGACCAGCAATAATTAAACTCATGAAGTAGGATAAGTTAAAACATGAGTGAAATATTGATCATTTGAAAAAGCTGGAATGCAAACGAGATTTTTAGAAAGGGAGAAATAAATGGTTCTCTGTTCCTGGTTATATACAGGAGGGGAGTAATACACTAGATTGAATAAATTAACCATAACAAAAACTACCTGAATGGCTTACATCCTGGGACTCATCCTACCACCATACTTTTAACTCCTTAGAGAGAGAAAGAGCTATTTGGATACTCTGACGGTGTGTTGGTGTGTGTGTGTGTGTTTATGTGAACTGTACTTCTTGTAGCAGCCACAACAAATAAAATAATTAACCACAGTGTGAGTGATCGAGACAGGAAGTGCAAAAAGTAGTAGGATTTGGACGATTTTTAAATATTTATTTGCTCAATCTGCCAATGAATTGCTCATTGTGTACCAATCATAAGGTGGGCATGGGCCTGGCTCTGGGGGTGTTTAGATGAACAGAACCCCCTCCTTGCCCCTCAGGCTTTACAGTTTCAGTCAGGGAGGTAAGGTACACTACTGAATATGGCAGAAAGGGCAGTATTGTGGTAAGACACACAAACCCCCGGCTGGAGGGTTGCTTTAATCCACCCTTCTGGTTACTGATAAGGACAAGTGGGGGAATAAGGAAGTCAGGGATGTGTGGACTCCAAGGCTGGAGTCAGAGGGATGGAAGGTGCAGGAGTGGCTGGTTCAGGGCTCAGGGCAGCTCTGGGACCGCATGGCAGGAGTTTGTGGGTTTCACTTGAATGCTGTGCTATCAACATGACTCCATGAAATCTCCAGGATGCTACCAACTGGCTCCCTTCTTCTGACTCATACTTTCTGTTTCCTTCTAACCTGGGCAAGGCACGGCATGACTCACATCTCCAGGGAAGACACAGAAAAGACCTCCTGTGAGGGGTGGCCCTGAAGATGGTCTTGATGTCCAAGGAGAGTCTGAAGACAGACGGGAAGATGGGGTGTGGAATCTCAGGTGGAAAACAGGGAAAGAAATTCAGTTAGGCTAGAACACAATGCATGAAGGAGAAGAGCCTTCAGCAGGGAGGTTGAGGCTGGTGCACGCTGTGTAAGGAGATGGGATTCCAATCTCTGGGCAAAGGGGAGACACAAGGGGAGTGGGAGAAATGCAACCTGCCCCAGAAAGATGACTGGCAGTTTGGTGCAAGGTGTGCTAGAAAGGAGATAAAAGAGGTGGGAAGTCTGTTCATGTTCTCAAGTCCAACTCCAGTCCTAACTCAGAGGGTGGACACAAGCACACTAATTGGAAGCTACTGCAGTGGACTGGGTGGAGACTGATCAGCGTCTGCAAAAGGGCACGAGCCATGCAGTGCAAATGGACAACACATGGGCAGCAGAAGGAATTCGAGTGTGGGCAGACCAAGGAATAATCACTGTGAAATTACTGGGGTTACCAGCGCCAGGCTCACTGTAACTCTATGTTCTATGACATGGATGCTGAGGTCCTTCATGAACCCCTCAGAGCCACCAGAGGGAACAACCCAGTGTCAGGGCTGGCAGGGGACAGTGAGGAGCAGAGCAAGTGGTGACAAGGAGGTTTGGAAGCCTCCATGGGGTGAAGTGTGGCCCTAACAATGGACTCCATAGGCTGCAGTTTGAGCCCTTGCCACAGACACTTTGCTAAGGTTGGTGACACTCCCAGGAAGGAGACTGGGAAGGGATGACCCACATGGGTGCCGTGCCTGTCAAAGGTGGATGTGAATGAGAAGAGGTCGACAGTGGGAAATGGAGGGCTAAAGGGGAGGTATGGGGGGAAGGGACAGGGAAGCTGCTCTGTGTATAAATACAACCTCCACCCCTTCTCATCAACGCTGACCTTCCAGATGACCGCAGCAGCCACCAGAGGCTCAGGGCAGGGTACTGTCCAGCTCTGAGTGTATGGAGTTTATTCCAAGGACAATGGGAGAATGAGAAAACCGCTGGTGAATGGAAGCCAGGTGACTTGGTCCCTGTAACATTGTGGAGAAAAATTCTGTGGATAAAAACCTACTGCAGTTTCCTAAGGGGAAATGGTGGCAACACTGACAGAGAGAAGAGGTTCTGTAAGAGAATCAGAAGTGAGAAGAATCAAGGGCAATTCTAAGTGTCCTAGCTTGAGCACTGAGGTGTATGTTTATATCATTTATTGAGATGGAAGGTAAAAAACATTAAGCAGTCTCTGCGTCTGTGCTGAGTTTGAGATGCTGACCACATGTCCAAGTTGAGATGTTAAATAAGGGTCCCCATCTTGGAGGAAATTGGGAGTAATCAGTATCTAGGAGCATTAAAGCCATGAGTCTATGAGATCTTCTAGGGAGAGCACTAAGAAGAAGAAATGCAGGCCCAGGACAGTCATGGGAGTGACTGGGAGCTGGAGACAAGCTCAGGGGGTGATGTCATGGAAGTGACAGGAAGAAAAGTCTAAGACGGAGTGACTAGTTGTCAGTGTTGAATGTTGTGCAGACATCCAGGGAGAGGAAGAGAGACAAGTCCTTGGGTTTGTCTGTCTAGGGGTTGTAGAAGACTTCAGCAAAGCAATAAGGAAGGAAACTGGAACAAGGTATTGCTGAAGAAGCAATGAGAGATGAGAAAGCAAGATGAGGACAGCAAAATCCTTCCAAAAGGACAGCAGAGAAACAGAGCAGTGTCTGGAGCACAGGATGATCAAGGAAGCATCTTTTGGAGATGCATGAATGTGAACACTTGCCCACTACACAGTGGGAGAGAACAGTGGTGTGGGAGTGAGAGGTTATAAATAGTCATTTGGAGAGTCAGAAAACAAGTAGCTATGAAGTGTCTTCAGTCCTGCGCTGATATCCAACTTGAGGTCTGTGGAGCCAGAGGATGCAGCTGTAGGGCTTCCTCCAGCCACGTGTGGGTGTTCTGGTGTGGCAAGGAGCAGCTGAGGTCAACCAGGGTCAGAGGTTACTTATTCAGGCAAAGATGGCAGTATTATTCACAACAGCCAACACATGGAAACAACCTAAGTCTCCACTGATGGAGGAATGGATACAGGAAGTGTGTGTGTAAACAATGGAATATTACTTAGCCATAAAAAGGAAATCCTGCTATTTGGGACAACATGGGTAGACCTGGAGGGTATTATGCTAAGTGAAATGGATGACAAAGAAAGATTAATACTGTCTGATCTCACTTACAAGTGGAATCTAAAAAAAAAAAAAAAAGAACTCATAGAAACAGATTGGTGGTTGCCAGAGGTGGGAGGTGGCGGGGGGTGAGGGGAATAGGTAAAGGTGGTCAAAGGCGCAAACTTCCAGTTATAACATTAATAAGTTCTGGGGATGTAATGAACAGCATGGTGACTACAGTTAACAACACTATATTGTAAATTAGACAGTTGCTAAGAGAGCAGATCTTAAAGGTTCTCATCACAAGAAAAAACTCTGTGAGGTGATGGATGTTAATGAGGCTTACTGTGGTAATCATTTTGTAATATATACATATATCAGATCATTTAAGGTACATGTCAATTGTATCTCAGTAAAAGTAAGGGCTGGGAACCATTATCCTTCAGCTGTGAAACAATAACAATAAAGCTAATTAAAGAAACATTGAAGGTACCAAGGCCAATGGGTTTAGGCCACCATGTGGTTCTGATGTGAAAGGATACTGAGGACCCAGGCCTGCCCTGCTCTCTCTTAGGGGCAAAAAAGATGATAATTTAGGGCTTTCACTGTACAGATGACATGAAAATTTGTATCTCTGTTCTGTTTTCTCTCCCAAACTCAACTCAAGGCGTTTCTACTTATGTTATCTTCATATACCTCTTTTAAGAGCAGCAGCTGCGTGTTAACTTCTTTGAATTTTTCCACAGCTATTCAATTAAAAAAAAAGAATAAATGAGGTCACTTCACCTGCAAATGGCACATGAATATGGTAGGTGTAAAATAGTATTAAAATAAAGGAATAAAGTAAAAAAAACCTACTTTGATGAAACATTAAAAGCCAGCAAATATCATCCTCAGGCCCATGATTTAGATGTTAGAAACCGATCATCTCAGCACAAGAATATGTTTGACACTGCCTTATTCCCAATTCCAACCCCAACACCTAACCCTAACCCAATACCACCCAAAGGGCGAGTCCCACAAACCTTCTACACCAGCTTCTCTGTAAGAGAAGTTATAGGGGTGAGGTCACATTTACACACATCCTTGCATGTGAGATGAATTAAAAAATAAAAGGACAAGAGAGAGAAAAAGGGCACACTTAAATGCCTATAAACTAAACCTTTTGTTTTTTTTTAGTGGAGGGAATTTTTTTAATTGTAAAAAACATATAATACTAAATTTACCTTCTTAACCAGTTTGAAGTACAGTGCAGTAGTGTGGAGTGTATCTACATTGTCATGCAACAGGTCCCTAGAACCATTTCGTCTTGCAAAACTGAAACGCTATACCCTCAAGTGCCCGTGAACCGTTTAAGAGGGACCCCGCCCACTGGTCAGTGAGGCCCATGGGGACCCTGATCCCACAAGGAATATTCTCTCCTTTGGAGAGGAGAGATGCGGTGTGGACAGAGGGGTGGAGCCCCTCTTTCCTCTCGTACACTGAAAGGCTGGGTGTATAAGGAACCAGGTCATAGCCAGCAGCTTCACCAGAATGCCAGTGTGTTGTCCATTCGCAGAGACAACAGACACTGTTACATTCAGCTGTGACACATTCACTGCCCTCACTCCCTGACAACAGCCATCCCTCATAGGAATTTAATAGTTGGCCCCAAAGTTACCATTGCTTCTCTTTTTAAACTTCAGACGTACCTTGGAATCCTGAGACTATCTGGACAACATCTTCATATACCATCAGGGTGGCAGATCTTTCTGGAAGCAGGCCAAGGCTCAGTGAAGAAAATACTGCAGAAACAAAAATGGATATGAGGGAATTCTCACGTTTAAATCACTCCAATTTTTTAAGTACTCGGCATTCTTTGGATTCTCTGAGTTCAAATCCATCAATGACATTGATTTTTAATAGTGTGACATAATAATTATGCATTTGGCTCCTAATACAGAGCTCCTACATACCTTGGAACTTTCTGAGTGATCAGAGTCTCTCGTTCTGATGAGGAGACCCTGGGTGGGCTCCTGGAGGGGGGCTGGTCACCAAAAAGACCAATCCACATTAGAATTTTGGAACTTTCAGCCCTACCTCCCATCCTTCAGGGAGGGTAGAGGGGGTGGAGAGTTCACTTAATGATTGATCATGCTGATGTGATGAGCTTTACATGAAAGTCCCAAAGATACAGGCTTTGGGGAGCTTCAACCCAGGTGTGAGAGTTTTTTTTGGAGGCGAAGAAGATAGTCTGGAAGTAGGCAGTGGTGACGGTTGCACGACATTGTGAATTACACACTTTACAATGGTGAATTTTATGGTTCTATGAATTATATCTCAAATAGAAACACAGAAAAAGAAAAGAAAAAAAGAGAATTCATGTTGGGGGTTCAAAGTTGGGAGGAAAATCTCTACCAAGTTGGGGGAGGAAGGATGTGTGTGAGCCAGGACGCAAGGGAGAAACCCTAACTTGGGTAAATCCTACATAATCACTTCATGGGTAAATTTAAGCATCTTTAACAACGATCCCTTTGCCCAATGACAGGGTACCTAACAGTCAGAGAAAAAGAGCCAGATAGCTCCTGCCTCTAAGAAACTACTCACCTCCAGACTCTGGTTTTATTTTCCCGCCTCTCTAAGTGCAGACGCCTGGACAATTCTGCTCCCTTCAAGAGTCCACACAGATCCTGAAGGCTTTTTCTGCGCCCTGAAAGCCTCTGGGGCACTCCGAGCTGGAATCACCTGTGACTGGCCTTGCGAGATGTATGCGACCATCACAGAGGGTTTTGAGACATTTCTAACCTACAACATTTGGTACTTCCAAACATAAGGCATCTGCTCTAGCACACTGTTCCTCAAGCCCTACTATGTGTAGGAGAAAAACTGGTTTCTCCTATTGAGTATGATGAGAAGGAGCGAGACACCTGCAGGCGCTTCCTGGGCAGGAGGGAGGGGACTACATAACTCACAGGGCCTGAGCGCGCTGGTGGGTGGAAGGTGGCAGAGAGACGCTCAGATCTGCAAGCAGATGGTATTTTAGCTATCGGAGAGGAGAGACCGACTGATGTCTTGTTTTTAGTAAGTAGAGAGAGAGGAACATCTAACTACCTGGGAGAGGCACGAAGGCTCCTGAGAACAGAAAACAGCCACACTGGGCATTAAAGGACAGAAGACAATCTTGCAGAGAGAACAGTAAAGGAATAACAGTGCAGACAAGCACAGAGCGGGTATCTCGTTATGTGGACAAGGCACACAGGGGAAAAGAAAGAGGG